CCAAGTGAGTTCCAGGAAAGGCGCAAAGCTACACAGAGAAACCCTGTCTCAAAAAACAAAACAAAAAAAAAACAAAACAAAACAAAAAAAAAGTATGTTATAACTAAGTTTTTGACATCTTTTGTCCTGTTTTGAATTTGATTGACTGTTTTATATTATGTGACAGGTATAACTGGATCCACCAGCATCTTTGATCAGTTCTGAGCCTGACGTCCATGAACTTAGTGTTACTAGCCATACTCTGATGTCGCCTCCTGAAGTCTTCACTTGCACTGTAGAACTTTTTAATAGCCCAACTACTCTGGAGAGTCCATTCTTGATTAGTACCGGCAGTATCGAGTGTGCTTTCGGTAGACATTCATGGCTTTATAAGACACACAAGCAGTAGTGTCAGCCTCCTCCACCGACAACAGATAGTTATCACTTGTCTTGATAGAAACATTAGTCTGTTGTTACCTTTTATTCAGTCTCCCCAAATCAAAAGGGGATTTTGGATTTGGTTAGTTGGTTATTAGGTGTTTTTGTTGGAGAACATGTAGAACAGGTTGTGGCTTACACCAAAACAAGCTAAACTTAGTAACTCACTCTTTTTATTATATAGTGAAAGGCACTGTATATAATACAGGAGGAAATTTAATTAACGATGTAACACAGACAGCACTTAGATATCAATCATCTAGATTACTAGGAGTTGCTCAGACATACTGAAAACAGAGGAGAAAACTGGCTTACACAGGATTAGCTCAGGTCTAATTTGGCTTCCGCTGACTTGATCTCTCAAATGTCACACAATCAGTTACAACGAGGGCTGCACACGGTTAGAGCCAGCAGCTGTGCGCACCCTCAGTTCATAAGCAAAAGCCCGAGACCCCCAAGAGTTGTTTAGTTTGCTAGGAAGCCTATCAGTTAATTCTGGAATGAAGCCTAGAAATTAACTGCTTTATTCAGCAGACTATATGTCTATTTCCCACTGACACTTGCAAACTGAGTTTTAAAAAGTTATTTTAATATGATAACACTTAAAAAAGTTATACATGATTAATAATAGAAACAAATGGAGTTTTAATTACTCATGATGGTTATTCATTCGGGACACATACAGGTATATTATGAAGAGATATAGTTTTCTTTTTCATTGAAATAGGTAATACGTTCTGAGTATTGTGATGTACAGATTTGCGTGCAGTTAGATCCTATCCGTCTCTTATCCCTGAGCATGAAAACTATTCCATCACTGGCCTTTACCCTTAGCCCCATCATTTTATTTACTTTTCTGTGTTATTGAGGGAGGACCGGTAGCCAGGCTGGTGCTAAGTTCATCAGCCCCCGAGTGTTGGGGTTACAGGTGTTTGCCACCAGGTGTTTTCCTGACAAAACCCCATCACTGGGCTGTCAGAATAGCTCATTCTGTAACTGGAAAGCTTTCTGGAAAAACACATTTCTCTCGAGGTGAGTTAGGCTATGGGGAACATCCACGAATAATGACTGACTGATGTAGTCTAACTTACAGCTTGTCTTTCCTCCCGAGTTCTGGAAGGAAGCTACTCGTTGGGTGGGTTATTTTAAGTTTGGCAGTGCTACAGAGAGACAGCTTCCTTACCCTAGAGTGAGCAGCCACCAAGTAGGGGAGGGTCACAAGGGGAAGGGGGGCCGGAAGTTCATTTCTTAGAGCTGCTGGAGACAATGAAATGCAGCTAGTTAGGAGCCAAAGCAGCGCTGGTGGGAAAATGGTTGGTGGCAGTGCATTGGTCTGGTCGTGAGTGGTAGAAAGCGGGTACCACTGAGGCCCGGGTAACGACAATGGCGAACACACATCAGTGCGGAGAACTGTTTCCTCCACATGGTCAACTTCTTCTGTGGAAGAAGGAAACTGAGACAACTTCAGATCTTTTTCTTTGATGTACTTACTGCTGTCTCGGCACGCATACACCAAATGTTCAGAATTCTCTGTTAGGTTTGAGTCTGTGTCTCCGTGAGTTCAGTTTGGGCGCTTACCTTTTAAAGACTGGACAAGTTTTGATGTATAGGGCGGTGCTCTGCTATTTTTAAACCCTGATTTTTTTCAAGTGTTTGTGCGTCAGCATAGCGTCTGTTTCCTTTTTTAAGGAATTCAAAAGTGATTGTTTATAAGTCCTTGCTGAGGAGCTTATTGTTTCTTGAGGTTTTAAATGGCTGTATTAAAAGGGAGTATTATCACATGAGCAGACATCCTGATTAACAGTGTTCCACTATGGTGGATGGGGGATGGGTGTTCTTCATAAATAGATTTGTAATGTAATAAATATTTCATAAATCTTACGACCTTGCCATATTAAATGCCAAGTGTTAGGGACAGAAGAAGGAGAATTGGTGACCTAAAATGTAATATGCTATATTCTGAACACTGGATATACTGTAGATATAGTTGAAGTTCAGAGGATTTTGAAAAATTGTGCACCAAATGACAAAGAATTATCCAGGGGTGGGGTCAGCCAGAAGGCCAGCAAAAAATAGTAGCCCTGGCCTGGGAATGTAGCTCAGTTGGTTGAATGCTTGCCTGGAACTCATGGAGCTCTGGGTTCAACCCCCAGCATGCACCTCATAAACTGGTGCTGGCCCACGTCTGTCATCTCTGCCTCTAGCACTCAGGAGGGCGAGGAAGGGGGATCAGATGTTCAAAGTCATCCTCAGCTACATAGTAAATCCTGGGTCAATCTGAGATATGTGAGACCGCATCTCAGAAAACAAAACAAAAAATGCAAAAGTAACTACAGATTATTGTTGAAGAAACATGGACCTATGCCAAGAACTTGAGATAGACTCTGTAGGTATTTGTCTAAAGAAGGTGTGGCCAGGAGGAGACAGAGAAGCTACAACCGTGGCAGGAAAAAGTAAGAAGAGTGTTACCTCTGGTGGGTTAGAAAATGTGGGATTATGTCCGAGTAATATGTAAGCCTTTGCTTACACACCGGAGGAGAATTTCAAATCGGGCTGCTTTTTATTAATGAATATTTGTTATACTTATACCTTAAAGCCAAACTCTGCCTGACTTTTCTCCTTTTTATGTTTGTCTCCTGTTTCTGAAATACCATGTCAGAATATGAGTAGATCCATAACTGTGCCACGAGCAAACAGCAATGTATTAGTTCCCATCACTACCTGGTAAATGGAAGAGACGGTACTTTGTTGTCTTCGGGAGTTATATAATCTGTCCTATTGCTGAGGCTTTTTTTAAAATATCAGATTCACTTAGTTCTTTGCATTGTCTGTCATAAAAATAAAGGTCTCCTGTGATTGATGTGACATAGCACGTGTCTGAGTCACTGAGATGGAAAAATCAATGCAACAGAAACAAAAACAGCTTCTGGAATATGCATGGATAGCTTTCCTATATAAAATTTCAAAATACAGCTAAATCCTCTCAAAATAACTTTGTTACTCATTAGGAATTTTTCATTGCTTTAGATTAGAAATAATTCTGTGTGTGTGTTTGTGTGTGCACGAGTGTGCATGCATATTAAAACCAGCATGGGAATATGGATAGCTTTTATTTTATTTTTTTTTAGTTGCCAGTTTTCTTAGAGTATTTTAATTCTTCCACATATACCCCACCCTCCCTTTTTGGCAAGGCTGCTTTCAGCTTCCAGCCAAGACAAGAACAAATTAAGTTTCAGTCACGGTAGACCACACTACAGCCATGGCTACTTAGGGTATTTATTCCATTTGCCAGTGCCACACCACAGCGGTGGCTACTGTGGGGTAAAAGCCTCCCTGACAGTGTCTTAGGAAGGACAGCTGCTGCTTCCTAAGCAGACTGCTCATCTCCAGTGACTTCTGGTGCCTCTGAGCAGCTTAGCAGTTACAACTGCATGCTGATGTGATCATTTATATGAACTTCTATGATGATTCTGTTCTTAGATCTCACAGCTAGGTAAGGCTTATGGGAATCCTTTGATCTGGGGAGAAAACAGCACCAGAGCTGGAATCACACAGCCATGTTCTCTTATGTAGTTGTCCTGACCTACTCTCCTCCCAGAAACTGTGTGACATAGTGTAGGATGTTACGTGATGACGTGTAGGGACTGATGTGGTCCCATCTGACTGAGGTGGCCCGGAGGCACAGCATGCCTTTCCCAGTATAAGCATGTTACTGAAGTAAAGAAATGACTCAAGGAAAAGCAAAGTGTTTTCAAATAGACTTGGCTTAAGATGATGAAGACCCCACTTTAAGAAGTAGTTGTACTTTTCTTAAAACATCTTTAATTCACTTGGCACTTGCTTCTCTTCTGTCTGAAACCCATGGCTTTTAGCCTGATGTTGGGTGGCATTTGAAAAAAAAGTAGTTCTGAATGTGGATGTTAGATCTTCAGCCTGAAATAAACGTATGTTTTGAGGAGGAGTGTGTCCACACTCTCAATGTGGACCACAGTCCAGAGATGCTCAGAGACCTCATCTAGGATACACAGCTCTCTCCAGCAGGGACAGCCATGCATCCCAACTGTGGCTGCCCTGTGGCTTCCTGAACACATGCTATTTTGAGAAGCCTCACCTTACAAATAGATTTGCAGAACAGGAAGAAGGTTCTTGGAAGGGAGGGTTGTGATGGAACCGATAAATATCTCTGTTTTAAAATCTCGTACAGCCTTCTGTTTTTAAATCTTTTCTTCTGGATGAGACATTAGTCTTTAACTGAGGATCTCTGTAACTGAAGACAAACAATAAAATACCAACAGAAAGGAAATTATTAAAAGATTTTATGTATTTAAAATACTTTTATCAGTAACCGCTTAAACTAAAGGATGGAACATTAAATAAAACCAAAAATTTCTTTAGGTGGAGGCATGGTCATACATGCCTGTAATCCCAGCACTTGGGAGACTAAAACAAGAAGATTGTGTGTTCAAAGCCAGCCTGGATATCTAGCTAGGGCCTGCCTCAAAGCAAAAAACTCCCACAATAATATCCTTTTGTTCTATAAATTTTTCTTCAAATTGAAAAAAATATTAAATATATAAATATTTTCAACTCAGGGCTGTTTGATAGTGAAATCAGATCATTATCTTGATGATAACGTATACCAGCAGATTGGATCAGAGTTCTAGCTTGTCATAAATCCATGAGTGCCTCTGAGGTAAAAAGTTATTATGTGATCTTTTAAGGCTAAATTTAGGGTGCTTCTTAGAATCAACTTAGGTAAAAATCTTCTAAATATACACTAATTCCACTAAACCTTGTCCTAATAAAAATTTCTTATAAAACTTTGGTCAATAATGTCTAGGTGTTTACCGCCATCAGAATTTCCCATGTCTGTAATGTAAACAGGGAAATGTTCCCACAAAAGACTCAAGTTAACTGATGGTCTCCCTTCATTTAAAAATTTAGGACTAAATGTGGGTGGACCTTAATGAAATCTGAGTTGTAGAAGTGAGTGGGTTCTTTGAAACTGTCTTACTATGTATCTCTGGCTGGCCTTGAACTTTCAGCGATCTGCCTGTCTCTGCCTCTGCCTGAAATTCAAAGCCCATGCCATCACACCCAGAGAGTGAGTGTTGAGAAAGGGACATTCCCTTCTTGATGCACAGGACAAGCCTGCGTCTTTTGTGCCGGGAGAATACTGTCAAGGAAAGATTGAGGAGGCCAGCCTGAACAAGTGGTCTGACTCAGTGGGCCTCCATTTCATTCCGTGGAGATGCGCATGCAAAGTAGGCCTGGAAGAAGGGTCAGAACCTCCTGCTCTTATGACTGACTGAACGTCACTGTAACGGCTTCAAATGAGAGGGTTGCAAAGAGATAAAAACAAGAGGTTTTACAACGATTTTTTTTGTTGCCTCTACGTTCACACATGTTCATGAAGTATGGCACAAACAAGCAGTGTGTGTATGTGTGTGCGTGTGTGCGCACGCGCGCACCTGGGCTCGCACCTGTCTGTCTGTCTGTCTCTCAGAGCTTGTGTAGTGAAGGACTTTTCCCTGCTGAGCCATCTCATCATCTTTTCAGTAGTTTAGAGGGGTTTGAAACTTTTTTTTAGCAGTTATAAGTAAGGCCTCTAGCAATTGACACCATCTAAAAACTACAGAGCTCCCCTACTACTCTGTAAGATTGAGTTTCTAGTTCTTTGCTCTGTTACCATGGCCTACAGGAAGTCATTAAACTGATGTCAGGGAGTGCATAGGTCACTGCTACTGCCACATCTACAAGGTAGATGAACTAGCAGGTGACACTTTGCCATCCTGGTAGCAAACGGGAACCTGGTTTAAGTCCTGCCCTTGCTTTTCCCGTTGCACACTCCTTTGCCAGTGAGAAGTTTGAGACAGGAGAAGAAATCAGTTGATTATATTTTACAATCATTGTTTTGTTTTTGTTTTTCTAAAGCCACTGCTTTAGGAAGAACTGAAGCTAGAAATACATTACAAAGTGCAAAGCCATCTATACGGTTAAAATACTTGGGAACTTTTAAGACTGAGTCTTTGACCACTTTTGAAACTGAAAATAATAGTTTTAATCATTGTTTATCTGAGACTTTAATACTTTTCCTTTTCTTCTTAGATCCCAATTTTGTTCGGACGTTTCTTACAACATACAGATCCTTTTGCAAACCTCAAGAACTGCTGAGTCTCATAATAGAACGGTCTGTCGATTTTAAATGTTTGAAGTCTTTGATTCTGAAAGGACTAAGATTCGTGTTTCTCATAAATGTGTCAAAAAGCTTATTGTAGTTGATTGAACTCTTAAGATAAAACTACTGGCTTTACAAAAACATGCTAACTTTGATTATTTAAGCAATTTCTCTTTTTTTTCGTTGATTTAGTATTTAAAACTCCAATTTTTCAGGGTTTAGGCTGCACTGGGGATTGAACCATGGGCCTTTGGTTCAGTCTAAGCAGTATTCCCAGCCCAAACTAATTAAGTTAAAGAACTCTGTAAATATGTATGACGTAGACTCTAGGCTGGACATATATATGCCTGTAATCTAAGAATTTCGGAGGTAAAGGCAGGAGGATCAGTTCAAGGTCATCTGATTAGACGTAGAAGGTTTAAAGCTGCCCTGAACTATATGAAGTCATGTCTTTAAAGTAACAAGACACGATGCTTCACACGTTCTAAACAAATTTTCAAATAGACTACATACTGAATAAAATGGATCTTATTAGTGAGCAAAGGCTTTTATCAAGAAAAATGGTTTTCATCTACCCAAAGAGCAATCAAATTTCAAACATTAGTCAGCCTTAAAATTATGGCTACTGATTTTAATCTACTGACTAAAAATGAACATTAGACCCATTTGTTTTAGATTTTACTTGTGTTTTATTTTACTTCTAGTTAGTTTTAGCTCTGCTGGCAATATTAACTTCTTTTTAAAAAATATTAGCCTTTACATTATAAAAAGCCTTACGGGGGCCGGGCGGTGGTGGTGCACGCCTTTAATCCCAGCACTCGGGAGGCAGAGCCAGGCGGATCTCTGTGAGTTCGAGGCCAGCCTGGGCTACCAAGTGAGTCCCA